TAGGCAAAATCAATATTGTCAAAATGGCCATACTACTCAAAGCACTATGCAGATTCAATGTGATTCCAATTAAAAACCCAATGTTATTCCTTATAGAAATAGAAAAAACAATAATGAAACACATTTGGAAAAATAAGAGACCCAGAATAGCTGAAGCAATCCTTAGCAGGAAGAGTGAAGCAGAAGGCATCACAATACCAGATGTTAAACCATACTACAAAGTTATAGTATCAAAATGGCATGGTATTGGCACCAAAATAAACTTGTAGACCAATGGTATAGAATAGAAGACACAAAGATGAACTCACATAAATACAGTTTTCTCATACTAGACAAAAGCATCAAAAACATATATTGGACAAAAGATAGCCTCTTCAACAAATGGTGCTGAGAAAATAGGAAATCCATATGCAAAAAAAGAAAAAAAAAAAAAACTAAACCCCTATCCCTCAAAATGCACAAAACTCAACTGAAAGTGGATCAAGGACCTAGGAATTAGATCAGAGACCTTGTGCCTAATAGAAGAAAAAGTAGGCCCAAATCTTCACCATGTCAGATTAGGCCCCAGCTGCCTTAACAAGACTCGTAAAGCACAAGAAATAAAATCAAGAATGAATAAATGGGATGGATTCAAACTGAAAAGCTTCTTCTCAGCAAAAGAAACAATCAATGAGGTGAAGAGAGAGCCTACATTTTGGGAGCAAATCTTTACCACACACATGTCAGATAGAGCATTAATCTCCAGGATATATAAAGAACTCAATGCCAAACAAACAAACAAACAAACAAAAAAAAACCAGCTCAATCAATAAATGGGCTAAGGAGCTGAACATGTACTTTTCAGAAGAAAAAATAAAGTTGATCAACAAATATACGAAATAATGTTCAACATCTCTAGCAATTAGAGAAATGCAGATCAAAATTACTCTAAGATTTCATCTCACTCCAGTCAGAATGACAGTTATCAAGAACGTAAGCAATAATAAGTGTTGGTGAGGATGTGGGGGAAAAGGCACACTCATACATTGCTGGTGGGACTGAAAATTGGTGCAACTAATCTGGAAAGCAATATGGAGAATCTTTAGAGAACCTGGAATGGAACCACCATTTGACCCAGCTATCCGACTCCTTAGTCTATACCCTAAAGACTTAAAAACAGCATACTATACTAGCACAGCCACTTCAAAGTTTACAGCAGCAAAACTCACAATAGCTAAACTGTGGCAGCAACATAGATGCCCTTGAATAGATGAATGGATAAAGAATCTGTGATACATATATACAATGGAATATTACTCAGCATTAAAAGATAATAAAATTATAGTATTTTCAGGTAAATGGATAGAGTTGGAGAATATCATGCTAAGTGAAAGAAGCCAGTCTCAAAAAAAAAGGGCTGAATGTTTTCTCCGATAAGTAGATGCTAATGCATAAATGGGGTGGTGCATGGGATAAATGGGGGAACTTTGGATGGGTCAAAGGGGAGGGGAGAAGGGGGCAAATGGGTAGGAAAGATAGTGTAATGAGACGTTCATTCTTATCCGAGGTACATGTATGATTGTGTGAATGGTGTGATTTTACTTCAAGCACAACCAGAGAAGCAAAAAATTCTGTTCCTTTTATGTACAATGAATTGAAGAGCTTTCTATTGTCATGTATAACTGATTAGAACTAATAAATAAATAATAAAAGAATACACGGACTAATTAAGAAATAACCAAAATTGATGGTGTAGAATAACACAACCATCTTTCACAGGATCCGGGGCCTTTCAAGTCTGGCAGTAGTCATTGATGACACATAATTTTTTATTTGAATTGCTCTCACATATTACAAGCATCTTAAGGACTAGAACTATGCTTTCGTCATAAAACCTAAAATGATATGCCATAATTATTTGTTCTTTGAAAACATTTTTGATGTAGTCAGGTCTACTCCATGCAAATTCTTCTTTCAGAGCAAAAGTGCTGCTTCAGGTACATACAAAGAGATGTTTTCTGTTCCCTTGGGGTGAATCAGAATGAAATACTATTTATTGGGGAGTAATATTAACACCAGGAAGGGTAGAACTGTTGTTCACACTGGCTATTTCTTTCACAAACATTCTTCTGAGAATGATTAAGAAATTATCTGTGAATGATTCACAAGAAGTTCTTAAAATTATGTGGGCTGAGTTAGTGCTGCCAAGCATGCTATTTGAGAGATTAATTTAGAAATTTGGAGTTGATAATCATTCAAGCTCAACTTTGACAGCCTGACTTCTATATATATTCCTCAAACCAGACACACATGCAATAAATAAATAAAATTCAAATATATAAAAAATAGGAAATTAAATAATGTACTTCTAAGCAACTCATGAGTCAAAGAAAAATAATAGACAATATTACATGGTTCAAAATTAGTCTTGGGAAAGAACAATATTGATCAATCCCAGAAAAACTGATCAAGAAAGAGAGAAAAAAGTGAGAGAAGATACATATCATCAATATCAAGAATGAAAAAGAATATATCACTACAGATCACACAACTTTAAAAACAACGGAGAAACTATGAGATGGAATTGACCAAACTATGTTATGTACATATGTGAATATACCATAGTGAATTTCACCTTTATACATAAGTATAAGCCACCAATCAAAGTAAAATAGAAGGAAAACCAGTAGAGGAGAGGAGACGAGGGAAAAAGGAAGCACTGCATACTGAAATGAGCAAATTATATTCCATGAATTCATGATTATGTGAAAATGAACCCCACTATTATGTAGAACTGTAATGTATTAATAAAAACATAAAAATTTTGATTAGTTAGGTTAAATGGAAAAGTTTATAGAAAAAAGACAACTTACAAAATTAACGAAGAACCAGAAATAGGAAAGATGAATTGTTGTATATATTTTAAAGAAAATGAATATATAACTAAAAGTCTTTCTATAAGAAAACCTTAGGCCTGGCTAGCTTCCTGTGAGTAGTCTTATTACTAAGGAAGAAATAACACCAGACTTACAGTCTTGTTCTGCTAATACAAAAAGAAGGGTCACTTCCTGACTTCTTAAAAATGTGATCGGCATTAAATTTGACAAAAACTTTTAAATAATAACACCTTACATATATTAATGCATTAGCGATTTAGAGAAATCTCTTCACTATGGGGAAATTTAATATACCTACAAAGTGACCTCTGCACAAAAGATGAGCTATTAGATAAATCACAGAAGCATAAATCGTAGCATTACCTCTAGAGAAATGGCATGCTTTAAAATGATGATATAGGTAAATAATACTTTAATACAAATAATGTGCCAATTTATATCCTTATATTGAGATTGAAGTGATATTAGAAATATGGATCCTTTGAATCACAAATAAGTTCACAGGAGTATTTTATATGAATTAAGTAGAAAAGTAAGCTATAATATAGAATCTAGTCACTTTGGGTCTAATAATTCTATAACATTAAAACCAGATAGAATTTCATGTAAATCTTTTTACATTTTGTTTATTATAATTTAGTTGGTCATAGAGAACATCTTATAAAAGCTTAAGGCGGCAAATATTTTAAGAGTAAGTTATCTGGACATTCTTGTATGGTTGTTTAGTACTCCCTATAGCAATCCTTTCAGAAGCATCAAGAGTTTCTCTGAGTTAATATCACTTCCATCTCGTCTCATTTATCAAGGCAGGGTGGGGACACATGTAAAAATAAAACTGTCATCAAATGACCCTGCTTTGCCAAAGAATTCATGAAACTCATGGAAGGAATAGGCTGCTGGCCACCAGGGCTTGCCTCACATTTACTTTGTATTTAACAAAGAATGATGCACAATTTTCTAAAATCAACCCTGACAGCCCAAGATCTAAATGAAAGCGAGTAGTCAATAGTAGTAGAATATGAAAAGTTATAATAATTTTGAAAATACACTATCATTTCTTTCTATAAGATTATAGGTTTTTTGAATTTTGTATGGATAAAATACATTATAATACTATAATCAGCATAAGAAAATCTTCTTGAATCTCAATAAAAAGATTGATTAAAAATAGCATATCAGCACGAGTTTAAATGTGTGTTTTATATAGCTAGGCTTTGGCTGAATGTTGTGTAGAGTATGTGTCTGTGACTGCCTAAATGTGAAATACATGTGCATACATCAATAAGAGGTATTTGTTAAGTATATGACTGATCAGACACACTAGTGAAATGACTTCTGCTTGTATACTATTTTACCTTTTAAACATTTTTCACATCCACTAATTGAGTTTTATCTTCACAATCCACCATGAAATAATTAAGTAATACTTTCCTCATACGATTATGGATAGACTTTTCCTTCTTGTTCAGAATGTTACTTTTCCTTTATTTCCATGAAACTAAGGGAGCTGGTTAAGCTTTTTTATTACAAACGTTTGCTTTAGCTTTTCCCTGCATGCAGAATCAATAAAGGAGAGGCTAAACAGTCTTCAAAGCTATAAGATGCCTGATTCTGGGTTAAAGCAAACACACATATGTGTGTGTAAAGGAGCATTGGATTTCAAAGATTACAAGGGTACTTTGATAGGAACATCTGAGAAAGACATTGTCTCCTCATGTAGTATATAGACAATGCATTCTTTTTGATACCTTTTTTTGGTATTTAGGGGTCTTGTGGTTGATGATACCTGCTACCTTCAATTCCCCCTGAAAACACACTCTAGATAATGTCCATACTCCAAACATTTTTTTTTTGCTGATTATCAAAATTTTCATCATGCCTTGATTTTGCTAGACATGATCATTTGACTCAACCTAATAAACTAAATATGCTAAAGTATAAATTACTGTAAACTTTTTGATATACCAACTCACCTGAGAAAATTCCATCTATCAGAGGAACCTGAGAGGCCATAGATTCTAATTTAAAGAAATCATAGAGGAAGTCACGCTTCAGACAGCGTGCTGGGAAAGCTACCGGCACAGAAAAGCTAAGAAGGCAACGTGCCCTCCTGAGTGTACTTACAGGTCACCGTGAATGAGTCCGTAGATCTGTGCCATGCTCTGATGATAGACACCCTTCAAAATAATTATGAGGAGAATCACCACAAAAGATGGAAGGCCCCAACTCAGAAGGAAAAACAGCAGATACCTCCTCTCTGTGTGTTCGTCATTCATCACAAGCACGTACCAGAAATTCACAGACTAAGAAAGGAAACAAAAAATGAACAGGTTCTGGTTTAATGGTATTTCACAAACTTACTTGGCTTAAGTGTGAAGAGTCAGGGACCAGCAAAGGCCTAGGATGTACTTAATAATAATTACTGTTTTGATGTGATTTTTTTAAAAAGTTAGTTCATACATACATTCTTTCATATAGCCAAGAAATTCATCACACTTCAAAAGTCTAGGAACACAAGAAAATATTTAGTTTACTTATGTATCTTTTATTTTTCTTAATTTGCTCTGTTTTAATCTCAATTATAATCTTCTGTGACTGTTCTGTAAATCTGTCCTAGAAGAAATGTGCACTGATATTCAAATTTGCTTCCCATGTGAACAATTCATGATGATAACGAAATAAAAGGCCCTACATTTTTAGGCTTTTTTAAAAAAATTAGAGCATTATAATTACACATAGGAGTTGGGTTTATTTTGACAAAATCACCCCTGCATGAAATTTGATTTTAATCCTCATTCCTTTGGCTTTTCTTCCTCTCCTTCCTTCCCTTATTCTCCCTCCTCTGTTCTACAGATCTTCCTTTTGTTCCTTTATTTATTTATTTTTGATTGGTACTTTCTACATACACATAAAAGTAAAATTCTCTGTGTTATATTTATATATGCACATAACATGTCTTTTAAAGAATTCATTCTGCATGGCCTCCCTTTACCCTTCCCTCCACTCTGCTTCTCCTTCTTCTACATTAATAATCTTTTCTTTATATTATCCTATCTTTCCCTCCACTTTTCCTCTATTTTGCTCTAGCTTCCACTTATGAAAGAAAACATTCAACCTTTAAGTTTTTGGGTCTAACATATTTTACATATTCTTCACTTCCATTAATTTACCAGCAAGTGCCATTATTTCATTCTTCTTTCTGGTTGAGTGAAACTCCGTTGTGTATATATCCATTCCTCTATTGACAGACATCTGGGTTGATTCCATAATTTGACTATTATGAATGGTGCTGCCATAAACATTGATATGCCTGTATCACTACAGTATGCTGAGTTTAGTTCTTCTGGATAAATAAATACTGAGAAGTGGGATGGCTGGGTTATATGGTGGTTCCATTACTAGTATTCTGAGGAATCTTCACATTGCTTTCCATAGGGGTTGCACTAATTCATAGTCCCATCAATGACTGCATCAGTGTACTTCCCCCAAACATCTTCACCATCATTTATTATTATTTGTGTTGCTTTTTGACAATTTTTATTCTTTGAGGGCCTAACATATGGCAGGGCCAGACACTGTTCCATTGAATGGGGATAATTGTGAAAATGACCCTAGTCTGAGTCCCAGTGGGAGACAGAGAATAGGAAACAGAAATTGATTGCAGGGAGAGAAAAATAATGGAATAGATTTTGTGGCTTCTCTTTCTCAGTTTACACTACCTCTTTTTTGTAATTCACTTGACAAACATTTGAGTGCTTACTAAATTTCAAAAATCAGTCAAGCCAGTGAGGATACAGGAATGAAAGAGACAGGGAAAGTATTTACTATCCTGAATCTTAGATTTCAAGCTGAGCAACAAATAATTAAGGGCAATATTTAACTTATACTTATATCTGTTATTTCTTATTAAAATAAAATATATACAAGGGGACAGCACATGGAGAGTGAAGGGGATGTGGAGAGAGGTTAGGTACATGGGAATAAGGAAAATGAGGCCTGCAGATATTATTTTTGGCCCCAAAGCCCATGCCTAGTTTATATCAAAGCCAAATCTAGAAATTATATATTCTGTCTTCTAGTGTTTTATTTCCACAAGGAATTCTTGTATTTAATTGTGAGTTAATACAGTAATGACATTGAATGTCATGATAGACATATTTTACAACTATTCACTGGATAAATCATCCTTCTCAATTTCATGTGGTAGAAAGCATGAATATAGATGAATCACACACATATGTATGTGGTGTGTGTGTGTGTGTGTGTGTGTGTGCGCGCACACACACATACATATAACAGTAAGGGGATAAACCCAAGTAACAACGTTTCTAGGGCCTCGGTTATGTGTACAAGAAGATTATTATAAAGATTCAATGATGTGGGAGACCAACCTCACATGTGACTGAGTTAACTCCCCTGCTGGGCAATGAGGCATCAGGCACCCATGCTGGTAGACTGCCTTGCTCTTCTAGGGTTTGAGTAACTGTGTCTTAGCACGGGTCTTCCTACAGCCCCATGGGTAGAGCTGCACTCACCTGTTCCTTTGTAATATTACCCCTTGCCCTGTTTAGGATAGAATGTTCCATGGAAGTGCCTTGTGTGTGTCCCCTTCTCTTACTGTGCCCTTGGGTATGGCCTACCCAGGTGTCAGTCAACCTGCTGACAGTGACATCATGAAGATAGACTCAGCCCCCTGAAACCTGACCCCTTGCCTCATTTTAATAGGTTCTCCTCAATAAAAGGGGTCAACACATGCTCGCTCTCTATTCCTGTGGATCCTTAAGGTCAGAGGAGCCATCACAGTGATCCCAAAGAAAAAGGTATTTGTGTCTCTTGTGTGGTTATTTTGCGCAGCCCAGTTAGCCCAGTTTACCTGGAGTGACCTCTGAGCCATTCAGTTGTGAACAGAAACCCGGCACAATGAGATATTACATATAAAGTCCTGACAAATGTGTACACTCTCAAATCTGCTGTTAATATGTGATCAAAGAGAAATAGGTTAAGATCAAAAGCAAGCAATTATACAGTAAAAACCCTTCTTATGTGAGAAAAATATATTTCTAGTGTTTGTGGGAAAGCTTTCAGATTCTGTTAACTGAGGCTTCCAGGGAAGATTCTATCTGGACCAAATTGGCCTTGAGGGATTACTATTAGTCTACACTAGTGAAGGAAAAAAATGTTTGGTTACTTGGATATTTCTGTCTCTGATTTTTATTTCCTGTCAGCACTTCTTATCTTTATGTACATCTGCTTATATCTATAATTATAAAGCATGTTTTGAGTTGCTGCTTATGTAAATTTGTTCTAACTCCTTTTCAAAAAAAATTATAAGGTTCAAAAGTGTTTTTCCTCTTTTCACATTTAGCATAAGGATGTGGACCCAAGTAAATGGGATGTGTCAATAGTCTGATGCTGATGTAATCAATACTGCGAGTTAGAGGATAAAACTGCACACAATGTAAGGATCACTGATTAATCTATCTCCAAAAGAGAAGTGCTGGTTATTAAGTAGATATTTGTGTGTATCCATGAATCATCGTGACTCAGTGCTCAATGGAGCAGTAGCTGGAAGACTCAGAAAGGAGAGTACTGGAAGGAGGTAAATGACTCCTAAATTGATTTACCATGATGAAGATTGGGACATTTGCAAAATGTCTGCTTTTACACAGATGGACATCAGATCCATCAGGATCACTAGACCTTTCGGCAACTGTCTGACCTTCACCATAGGCTCAGACAAAATTGAGATAAATTAATTGTTTGTTAGATTTATATATGCAATACTTCTGTAGTGTTGCTAAATTCTTGAATACTTGATTAAGCCAAACAAGCTTCAAACTCTCACAAGCTTTTGACAATTTGAAAAAAATATACATATAGGTATACATGCATATATATGTGTTTGTGTGTTTATTTATCTACCTACCTATCTATTCCTTCTTAAGAGAATCCAATCACTGAGGTACACTCCAAGAACAGCATTTCCCATTACTTGTCATTTTTAAAGCTACAGAATGCAAATCTTGTGCAATAAAACAATATTTAATTATTCTAGAATTACTATGTGGTCTATACATAAGATTTGTTTTGACTAACTCCTTTCAAATCTTACTTGAATTTTATTTAAATACAGTAAGGCAGGCATGTGCTGGGACACACCTAGCTCGTGAGCTCCCCTTTTCTAAACATTGTCTACCTTCCTTTCCTAGAGGAGGGCAGAGTGGGTTCAGCAGCTCCTATGCTCCCTGACTCTGCTCCCTAGACACAGATGATTTGATTAGGGGGAGAAGGCTGACCTAGTTTGGTCACATCTATCATGAATTCCTTGATTCCTTGATAGTCTAGGTGGGTCCACTGAAATAAGAGGGCGCATGAACTGGAGGGGCAGACACAAGCATAGTAAAGACAGTGGGCCAGGCGCAATGGTGCGTGCCTGTAATCCCAATGGCTTGGGAAGCTGAGACAGGAGAATAGTGATTTCAAAGCCAGCCTGAGCAACAGTGAGACGCTAAGCAACTCAGTGAGACCCTGTCTCTAAATAAAATACAAAATAGGGCTGGGGATGTGACTTAGTGGCCAAGTGCCCTCGAGTTCAATCCCTGGTACCCGCTCCGCCCCCCCCCCCCAAAAAAAAAAGAAACTGTGACTGTAGAGAATATTTTGGGCAGACAAAACTTTTCCCTTGCTCATAGTCCCATGTGAGGTCCACCTGCACTTACAATTCTTAGGTTCAACAAGTTATCCTACAAACGTATTATCTCTTTTGTCATTGCAATGTTTGGTTATATTGGCTCAACTTATGTTCCAAAACAACTTGACTGAGGTGTGTATTGTTATCCTCAAGCAGTGGAATTAAAACCTCCAATTATTGATATTGTTTAAACAACAGAAGATAATAGAACATTTGACTATCCTCAGTCCCTAAAATCATGGCTCCTTCTTTGTAATCTAACTTAAGAGTATCAAGAGATCAATATGTTTACACAGCAATTTCATGCTGGCAGATACGTGTATGTGTGTGTGTGTGTGTGTGTGTGTATAAATATGTGTAACTGATGTGATTCTGCAATCTTTGTAATGTTTTGAATAACCAATAAAAAAAATAAAAAGTTACAATGCAAAAAAATAAATAAATAAATGAATAAATAAATAAATGTATGCATATAAAAATATATAGGTGATTTGCATGTCTTAGTGTTTGTGAGCTTTTAACCAATGCTGGAACTAACAGCATGCAATTAAATGGTGTCACTATCACTCAAACATGTCTCATGCTAGCTTGAGCATGGCTTGTCTGTCTTAT